GGTGCAATCTCGGCTCACTGCAACCTCCATTTCCCAAGTTCAAGCGATTTTCCTGCCTCAGCCTCTGAGTAGCTAGGATTATAGGCGATAGGCACCTGCCACCATGCCCAGCAAATTTTTGTATTTTTAGTAGAGACGGGATTTTGGCCAGGCTGGGAACTCCTGACCTCAGGGGGTCCGCCCACCTTGGCCTCCCAAAGTGCTGGGATTATAGGCGTGAGCCACAGTCAGGCCAGGATACATAATTTCTAATGGTAATTAAAGTATTCCAGGCAAGAGAAAAAGAAGGAACATTCTGCATCTGCAGTATATTTTACATAGCTACTATAACTTTAATCCTTAAATTTGGTTTCTTTAAGAGATAGAGTCTTGCTCTGTAGCTCAAGCTGGAGTTTGGCAGCACAATCATAGCTCACTGCAGCCTCGAACTCCTGGGCTCAAGTGATCTTCCTGCCTCAGCCTCTCAAGAAGCTGGGACTGCAGGCACATACCACCAGGCTTTGCTAATTTTTATTTTAATTTTTTTGTTTTGTTTGTTTTGTTTTGAGACAAAGTCCCAGTATGTTGTCCAGGTTGCTCTCGAACTCCTGGCCTCAAGCAATCCTTCTACCTCGGCCTCCCAAAGTGTTGGATTACAGGTGTGAACCACCGCACCTGGCCTCAATCCTTAAACTTGAAGAACACTAAGGAAAACATGACTTTAATCTCAGGAATATTGAAGCAAGATTCTAAATAAAATATTGACAAATAGAACGCAGCAATATATCAAAATAATAATAAAATATGATCAGCAGGGTGTATTTCAATAATGTAAGAGTAGTTCAAACCCAGAAAATCTACCCATGTAATTTACTGTATCAAAAATTTAAATGAAAAACTCCCAACACGATTAATAGATGTAGAAAAAGCATTAGATAAAATACAGCTACCATTCCTTTTTTTAAAAAATCTTGGCTGGGCACAGTGGCTCACTCCTGTAATCCCAACTCTTTGGGAGGCCGAGGCAGGAGAACTGCTTGAAGTCAGGAGATCAAGACTATCCTGGCAACAAAGCAAGACATTGTCTAACTCTAAATAAATAAATAAATATTTTTAAATCTCTACATAAATGTGAAAACTATTTTAGTATAATAGACTATTTAACAAATAGCAATAGCAAATATGAACACAGAAAATATTTCAATTTAAAATCAGTTTTAGGCAAAAGTAGCCTACCAGCACAATTTTTATTTAACTCTGAATTTCTAGCAAATGCAACAAGAAAATAAAATAACTGATATGACTATGGAAAAGAAGAGATAAAACTAAAATAAAATTTATAAGAACAAGAGAATTTGGTAAGATAACCAGATAAAAGATATTTTTAAAAATCAACAATCCTTTCCTATTCTAGCAAAAAGCACTTAGGAATGGAAAGGTGAAAAATATTCCAGTCATAATGGGGCAGGGGTAAGGGAAGCAATGCTATTAATTCTTTTTCTCTTCTTTTTTTTTTGTGGGATAGAGATGGGTTTTACCATGTTGTCCAGGATGGTCTCAAACTCCTGAGCTCAAGCAATCTGCCCACCTGAGCCTCCCAAAGTGCTGCGATTACAGGCGTGAGCCTCTGTGTCTGGCTGAAAAGCTGTTAATTCTTGAGGAATAAATGCATCAAGAAAGATATAGAGCAGATATGAAGAAAAACATAAATTTAATAAAAACACATAAGATGTGAACAGATGGAAAGAAATACTATTTCTTAGATAAAAGGAGCCATATAACTTAAAAATTGAAATATACACTTAATGCAATTCTAACTAGAATTCCACTAGGGTTTAAGAGAAGAGGAGAATATAAATGATCTTAAAATTTGTATGTACAAAAAAGTGATAGCAAATAGCCAAGAAAAAAAAAATTTTTTTTTTTTTGAGATGGAGTTTCACTCTGTCGCCCAGGCTGCAGTGCAGTGGCACAATCCTGGCTCACTACAACCTCCACCTCTGGGGTTCTAGTGATTCTTCCCTCCCGAGTAGCTGGGATTATAGGCATGTGACACCACATCCAGCTAATTTTTGTATTTTTAGTAAAGACAAGGTTTCACTATGTTAGCCAGGCTAGTCTCGAACTCCTGACTTCAAGTGATCCACCCACCTTGGCCTCCCAAAGTGCTGGGATTGTAGGCGTAAGCCACGGCACCTGGCCCTAGAAATTTTTTTTTTTTAAGTCTAATGTAATCTAATCTATATGATTTGGATACACAAATAGACAAACAGAAGAAACAATAGAGAATCCATAAGTAGATCCTAGCATACAAAACACTCAATAGCTGCAAAGGTCACAGGGGAAAACAGGGATAATTTAATATATTATTCCAACACAACTGGTTATCTATCTTCAAGACAACTACCCAAGACTGGAAATCCAGAAGCTATACAAGAGAAGAGTCATATCTGAATATCAAAATGCAAACAATTATATGGAAATATATTCCATCAACAAAGTCAATATAGGTGGGGCGCAGTAGCTCACATCTGTAATCCCAGCACTTTGGGAGGCTGAGGTGGGCAGATCACTTGAGGTCAGTAGTTTAAGACCAGCTGGCCAACATGGTGAAACCCAATCTCTACTAAAAAACTAAAAATTAAAAAAAAACAAAGTCAATATAAATATATTTGGGAAAGATATCTGTAACAACAATGATAGACAAAGGGCTAAAATCTAAAATATACAAAGAGGACTTAGAAATTAAGAAAAATATAAACAACCCATATGAAAATGTGCAGATGATATAAATAGACAATTCAAAGAACAAATTTACTTAGACAAAAAATTGAGATAATACTGAAACTCACCAGTAGCCAAGAAACTATATCCATTAGGTTGTCAAAATTACAAAAGAACCATAACACCTATTGCTGATAGGAATATGAAGAAAATAATAATCTCGCATACTACATACAAAAGCAAAAAATTCAGTATAACAGCCTGTTTTTGTAAATCAATATGGCAACATCTATTAATATATATATTTATATATAAACATTCGTATGTATCTATATACCTCTACCTACATCTATATCTATCTAAATTGAAAGTAACAGTATATAAGGGTGTATGAAAAATCATGTTGATTCAGCATTGAATGTAGTGTCAGAAATATGCAAAGAAAGTAAATGTTCATTAATAGGGGAATAGTTGAATAAATCATTGTGTATCCATGAAATATTTTACCGATTATAAAAGAATAAGAGTTTACATCAATAGACTGTGACAGAATTCTATGAGATATTGTAGAATGAAAAAGCAAGATATATTAAAGTATATATAATATTCTATTTCTGTAAAACAATGAACAAGAAAACATTCCAAAACTAGTGTGTGTGTGTGTGTATGTGTGTGCATCTGTGTATCTGTGCACATGGAGAAAAATGTGAAAAGATACATACTGTTTTTGCTAATACACAGGGATAGTGTGGAAAGGCAGAGCTAGGAGCTAAAGACAAAAAGGGGAAAGAAAGGACCACTACAAAAAAAAAACAAAAAAAAACCCAAGCAATCTTACTTATGCATTTACACATGTCTATGACTACACATCAATAAACCAAGTTAAATTTAGAAAAGATACAGTAAACACCTCAATAGACAATATGATCTCTGCTTATTAAGAAAAGTAAGGCAATAAACAAAATTATCTCTTGGTGCTTGGATTAGGGATGGATCATGTTTCTTCCTCACGTGTCCCTGTGTTTTCCATGAGAATTGTTACTTTCATAATAATGAAATAAAACCAATAAATGTTACTTTTAAAACATTACACTGAATAATTGAGTTAATTCTGGAAAATCAAGGGAGGAAAACAGAGTTAAATACCCCTTTCCCTTAGAAGCTGTCCAAGTAAGAAATGTATGAAATCAGGTTCCATTATCCCTCACCCAGCTGAAAGTTACTCACCTAAGGCAAGAGACTAAGTGGCTATTTCAGGGAGCTATTTGAAGCAGGAAATGGGGTCCTTTTTCCCCTACCTAACACTTTAATGACTTAAGTAAATCAGAAAGCCATTTACACCACTCTCAATTATCCAAGAATCTGCTTGGCTCTTTATTTTCTGTTCCCTTCCTCTGGCTTGCGGCCATTTCACTGCTCAGGAACATCTCCAAAATGGGGGTCAGGGAAGGAGAAAAGAGATGAAATTAATTTAGTCGATTTAGCTTCTCATTAGCAACTCTAATAAAAGGTTTGATAAGTGAGGTGGTCACAACTCATGGTTAAAATGAGGGTTCTGGGACTTTTGATAATTTCATGTAAGTAAACTTGCCTTCAGAGAAACACTATTTGCCTGCAATATACTTTAATGAATTTGATGCTTGCTATTTTTATGAAAGCCAGAACTTACAATAGTTGATATTTTTCTCTCCTCACTTTAATTTGCACTTTAGGGAAAAAAAAACCCATAAAAACATAAGAATAATGCCCTTCAATGTGAAGAACCACATCCTCAGTAGAGCAGTAGGCTCACAAAGCAAAGATTCTTAAGAGAAAGGAAGCTGTCTGGCCCCTAGCATGCTCTCAAGAGAAATTTTATCACGGCAGCAACCTTCCAAGGGAGCATGCCTTAGCCATACAACCCCACTGGGGGGATTTGCTAAAAAGGATTTGACATGACTTAACAAAAGCCAGGTCTCCACACACAGTATTTCCTTGTTTCAGTAGGCCCTCACAGATCTTTGTCCCTTTGGGAAGTCCAGAGACAAAATGGTACAATTCCAAGGTGTTCAAGCAAAAAACAATTTTCTCTTACTTGAAGACAACGATAGCTCCCCGACATGGAGGGCAGGCCAGGAGAAAGATCTGCAATTGAAGAAGAATTAAGAATGGTTAGCAAGAAAAAAATGCCAGACAGAGTGAGACAATGTTACTTTAACAATAACAAACAAAAAATAACCAAAACTCTAACACAATAATGTAATATAAAAAATTTTAAGGCAACAAATAGTTTTCCAAAGTCCATGTTTGGATATGTGTGTGTGTGTGTGTGTATGTATGTTTTTGCACGTGCGCACACACACATGAGAAAGAGAGGATGACAAGACTCAATATTTCAATGCTTCAGTTTCAATATGACATAAGTAGTCAGTCTTAAATTTAACCCAGGGCAGGTAAAAATAGATTCTGGGCATGGAACATGCACACATATGCCATCTGGTTTGCCTCCCATGGGAGAAGGTGGTTTTATCAATACTCAACATTGCCAAATTTAGCAAATAAAAATACAGATGTCCAGTTAAATTCAAATTCCAGATAAACAATGAATAATGTTTTAGTATAAGGATGTCCTGTATTTATTTTATCTGGCAACCCTATCAAACTGCCGCCCCCATGTTCCAACCCTCCCTTTGATAGATTCTTTTCTTTCTAAGCATGTCTAGGTGCTTTTACTCTTCCATTCTCCTCCCAGGTCAAACCAAACAAAAAGAACCTTGTCCCAAGAGACAAATCAGTTCCCTGATACCTGGTGTGACCTAGGTCCAGATTACAGCCTTTGGAAACCTGCAGCTGTGGCAGTTTGACCTTCCTCCATGCAGTGGTGCTCAAAAATCAAAAGGAACAAAAAAGTCCTATGCAGAGCTTGTTAAACATGCAAATTCCTGGCTTCCCTGATTAAGAATTCTGATTCCCCAAGTATGGGACTCCAGGAATCCTCATGTTTCACAAATGTCCCAGGAGACTGAATCACTCCTGGTAGCCTGAGATGCTGAATTTTTGCCCTTGGACTGAACTACTAGAGGAGTCAAAGATGTTCACCAAGACTGAGGATTGACAAAGGAATGAAACTCATGTTGGTAGTTTCTTCACCTGTAGTGACTTCATGGTGTGGTTTAGAAATTGTTGACATGTGTCCTTATGTTGTTGAGAGCTCTTATTAATATAGGATACCTGCATTATGGACTTGTTGGCTTTGTCACATGTATGTTCTTTAGTACGTGGTTCTTCAGTTCTCTCAGAGTGCATATTTAGAAGAAAAGAGTATTATAAGAAAAATCGTTATAAGGAAAGACACCTGCACAAATCTTTGCCAATAGGAAGAGGAAGAAGAATGAAAAAGAGAAAGGTCTTAAAAAATATTCAGCAGTCCATCACCTGCATGATACCTCATCAAAGAACCCCTCCAAGGAAATATCCAATGAGAACATGCCTTTTCCCTTGATCAATTTGATTAAAAATACAAAGCCAATGATAATTACAGGTCCACAATCTTTTGTTGGTAATCCTAAAATCCAAAGAGCTCTAAAAACTGAAAGTTTGTTTTCTTCAAAGCTAATGTGATAGCAAAACATGACTTGAACTGAGGTTAGGCTATTTATAGACTTTATTTCTTCCACTTATAGTGAATATCCATCTGTTTTCCATAAAAAAATAATAATGTATTCAATTGTGGGGTGCTGCCTCAAGCCCCACTGGGAGTATATGTAAAAGACTACATGCACTGTACTGCCTTTCTAAAATCCAAAAAATTCTGATTTCTGAAATATATCTGATCATAATGGTTCTGGATAAGGATTACAGACTTGGAATTTAAATTATCCAAACATTGATTTATCCCCACTCCCCACCCCACCCCTCAGGAGCAGTCTAAGAAATAAACAAAACTAATATTCTTTACCCCGATCCAGCAGTAAAGTTACTCACCTTAGGCAAGGGACCAATTTGGAGGCTGCACATAGTTACCCAGCATCAGGCACATCAAAGGCTACACTCAGAAGCTACAATACACAGAGAGGAGGCAGGGGCCCCAACCACCTTAGAAAGGTCCTCAATACTTCTGGAGTCACCAGAGTCATGCCAGCAGCCTTCCTGAGCTTCTGGAATACCCAAGACACTTCCAACATGCTAAACAGAGAAGTAAAAATGCGACACTGGGCACCACAGTTAAATCTTACTTTTCTATACCCACAGAGAAGAAGAGGTAAGCAGATTTTAGGGGAGATATTTCCCTTTTAAGTCCATTTGGCT